GGAGTCACGAGCTTTTGAGGTTCTCCGTAGAACGGCTGCCGGATGATCTGAGAGCGCTGCTGTTCTACGTCAGCCATGTGTTCCTCCCTCGCGCTGCTGACCAGGCCGCCACTCTGGACGACTCTGACCTCTGGATTCTGTTTAACGCGAAGACAAGCTGCCCGATCAACTATGCCTCGCTGATGTTTTATCATATGATGAAATATCGCGAAGAAGAGTGCAGTGGCAAGCTGCCTTTTGGCCCGCAAATCACCCATCTGCTGGCCATCTTAGGGGTCGATCTGCGTGGGAAGATCATCAACCGGGAGGCTCGTTCTGATCTGCAAGCTCAGCATGTCCTGCGTAGCCCTATCTCGTGGCTTGGACCCCGTAAACTTGCCAAAGTTCAAGGGGGAGACAAAGCTGCAAATTGTGAGTCCAAATCAGAACCAGAAGAAGACGATAATGATGAGGTTAGCTGGTTAAAGGACACTGCAGCAGCATACACAGCAGGTGGAATCTCCAGGCTTGACAAGGGAAAGGGAATAGCAGAATCTTCGGGAAAGCGCAAGAAGACCTTGACATTGGAGCATATACAGGAAGGGGTAAGGCTAGAAAATGAAGGAAAAAGCCTCCTCCGTGACTTTACCGCGTCACTGAAGGGAAAAGAGGCCAGCTCCTCAGGCAAGAAAGTCAGCAGGGTTTTATTCTTACCTTCGGAAGATGAGGAAGTCGATCCATCGGAGTATGCGTCGTCTCCGGAGTACACTTACTAGGACTGTGTTAGATGCTTGATTTAGGGGGAGATCCATGGATGAATTAATGGCAGTTGAATGGTTTGGGTCGGTCTTTTAGAGTAGAAGTCGGCTGTTTGCTTTTGAGTCATAGTCCGTTATGTCATTTGAAGTCTTGTTTGGTTGATTTGAGATTAAGTCTTGCTGAGTATTAGTGTTGAATGTGCTTTGATGATTTTTCTTATGAATAAAATGGACTCCCTGCTGTCTTTTTAATCACGTGACAGTCGTTAGTAGTTGGACAGGCTACACCAACAGTTTGTTTAAGTGTGCAGAACCTTGAAGCAGCTTAATATGAACATTGGACAAGTTTAGGGGGAGAAGCTTGGCCATTAACAAGCTGAGGGGGAGAATGTTGACAGGAGCAGCTTGAAGGCCAAGACAAAGAATCAAATCACAGCTGGAAATAAGGTGGCTGCCCAAAAACAGTTAAGGCAAGTTTTCGGGTCAAAAGAAGAAAGAATAAGAACTTGCCATACTTGAAGATTTCAAAGGAATTCAAATTCTCAACAGCTACATTGCAGCCTATAAAAGGCGATTTGAAGGAAGAGCAAAACCAACCTTTCAAGAGATCAAAAACTAGCTAAGCCAAAAGGGGATTTTGTGAGAATAGCTAGAGTGATAGGAAAGGGGTTTCTCAAAGGGTTCGGGGAGAATTGCTTTGAGGGTTAGTGTTGGGGAAACACTGGTTTCGAGTTGCTGGGGAAGCAATTCAGGTTTGAGAAAAGAGAGTTAGATCAATCGGGTAGAGATTGATCAAAGGGCTCTTGGGTAGATTGCTTGTAACGAAGAACTTCAACGGCATATCATAGTGAATCGTCAGAGATCACTTAATCGTGATTCTCTGACCGTGGAGTAGTCAGTATTGGGATCCTCATTCTCCCAATACTGGAAACCACGTAAAAATCGTGTGTTGGGTGTGCCTTCTGGTTTTCATTTTGCAGTTTATATTTGCCTCTGTTTGCATTCTGTTCCAGGCTTTATTTTGCAGGAAACTCGAATCAAAATCTGCCTGGAAAAGGCGACAGGCCGGGTTAGGATTGAGGAATTCTCTGAACTTGATTTTGGGCGAATTTAGTTCTTCTTGCCTGGGTATTTTATTGCTGTGTTGAAATTGTTCTTCCCCTGTTCTCGGTTCGAAAAGAAGCAGGTCTGCTTCTGGATCGAAGTGGAAAGTGGGAGGGAAGCAGGAGATTGAATTCAATACACGGTCGTTTTAGTTTGGTCATTTAGTTACAGGACTGGGCTGACTGGTTGTTGGGCTGTGGTTGCCTGATTCACCTCATCCGCCTAAATTAATTAGTTGGGCTTAGAAGCCCAGTCGAACTAGTCAGTAGACTTGCGGGTTAGGAGTTAGCCAATAGCTTAAGTTAAAAGGTCCAAACGTGTTCTAGGCTAAGGAGTTAGATTAGTGCTCTAGGTGTTTAATTATTCAGGGAGTCTTTTAATTTCAATTGGGTAATATTTAATTATTGAGCATATTTGTGGTTAAGTCTTGTAAGACAGGTATAAAGTCTCGCGCTCGACGCAACCAACATGATGTTGGTGAAGATTTACTTGCTACATGACCTTGATAAAGATGACTTGGTCGCAAGGAGGTCTATACTGCTCGGCAAAACACAATGACGACGAATGCCTTAAACTGAACCTGTTGTAATTGGCCGGTGAAGGCCGGACTAGCTTCAAGATGGAAAAAAAATGGCGGCATCTGCAACAAAGCACGCAATCTCCACCACAAGTACAAGGCATAGCAGTATAATTGACAACCATATGTACTTGGACAGGTCAAACTCCCACCAACCATTCTCCCAAATTATTAAAGACCCCCAAATCTCGAACATAAAATAATAGGCATATGGAAAGGTCTACCCCTACCTTACTTGGACTGCTGGCGTGAATAATGATTAATGGCTATCTAATTGTCCCGCCAAGAGTCCACTACATTCAAGAAGAACAGGAGCCTTCCCAGTTCCCACCGGTAGCACAAAAAGAAGGAAAGTTTTATGCTCGATGGGCCTAGCATATGAGCCTAGCTTGGATATGAAGTGGGCCAGGGTTTGAAACCCTTCTTCTGACTTTGGACAAGCGCCGTTAGATAGGGGTGAACAAACACACCCGCAAACCGACCCACCCATCCAATCCGACCCAACCCACCCGTATTTATCGCTAAAATGAAGGTTTTGAGTTGGGTGAGGGTTTTCTTTTGTACACAATTACTCATTATCATTATCACCACCATTCACCCGTTACTCTCCCCATCTCAATTGTTCCCATTCATAATAATTCCCCACCTGTCCATCTCCTGGCCTCAACGGCCACAATATTAATTCCCCTCCCCATTTTAATCAGAGCAGTAGGAAGAATCTTCACACAAATTCTTCCCAAAAACCCTACGACATTGTCCCATCCCTCGCCCTCTCTTGTTTTTCTCCGCGGCAGCAACGCTTGGATGAGAGACAGTAGCTTGACGTTCCGAGCAATCAAATCTAGCTTTAGGCTCATTTTAGAGGTGAGGATTCTGATCCCATCATTGGAATTCGGGTTATGGATTGATGGTTATGAATATATATATATATGTATGCGTGTGTGGGTGTTCTGGAGAATTAGTTTTACAAGGTAGTGGTAACAGATTAGGTGGTTACTAAAATTGCAAGAATTTCCAGAATAGTATTTTGTTTTTAGTAACTTTATTTATTCGGAGCTTTTGTGGGCTCGTCAATTTTAGTTTGATAATTTTTAAAACTGGAGGAAGATCAGTAGTGTCCTATTAATTTATTCAGGAAATTTTAGTGGCTGAATACCATTTTTAAAAATTGATTAGCTATGTATTTTAATTAAATAACGGTGGAGACACATGACTAATGACGTTGATGCTGTTGTTGTGGAGAAACAACGGATGGTGACATGCGGAAGCTCAATACCCTAGACAAGGATCGATTTTCGCTTTGATATCATGAAGAATTTGATAATGCGGAAATAAACAAACACGAGACAAGGGATTTTACATGGTATCCTCGATCGAGACTAATCCACGGTGAGCTCGGAAGAGCTCACGACTGACTTTTTATTCCCTATGTTTGGCCCGGCTTTTAGAAGTGCTTTTCATTTTCAAAAGCCGAAATAGGGCCAAACACCTCTAAAAGCTCGACTTTTGAAAAGCCGAAAAGCGCTTTTGTATAACATAAAAGCAGAAGCTCCGATTTGGAACTTCTTGCGAAGAACTGTTTTGAAAATACAAGATTATCCTTACCATATTTTAATTTTATTTCATAAAATATAATTTTCCCTCATTTATGTCATTTTAAAAATAAAATAAATTATAAAATCATATTATTTAATATAAAAGAATTCTAACAAGATCCATTTTGACTACTTTTTATTGTTCAGAATTTTTATTCATATTTTATATTATAAGTCCTTTATAGTCATTTTACACAACCTCTCATATTAAAAAGCACTTCTAATAGTTTTATAACCAAACACTCAATTGCTTTTTTCTGAAAAGTACTTATCTAAAAGCTCCAGCCAGAAGCTGCTTCTGCAAAAGTTACAACAGGGCCAAACTAAGCTAATATTTGAGGACTACATTTTGGCGGCTTCTATCACACAAGTCGTTAGCTAAGCTTATATAGATAAACTTAGGGTTAAAATCCTAATCCAACGAATCAGACGAGATCCAACAAGGCCCAATACTAACACAGTTTAAGTAACCACAACACGCCCATATTATACATATAGCTCGCAAAAAGCGTATTTCAATTAAGGGAAAAAAACAAAAAAGACTACAGGGTCCTTCCTACTAGTTATACGCAGAGATCAGGAAAACCAGAATGTAACATGTATTGGAGGAGAACCTCCATCTATAGTTGGGAGGATAAAGTTTTGTGTAGGATTGAAATACCGTACCGGAGGTCGTACCGGAAAAGTCAGTGGTAAGATATTTTAAGCTAAAATCGTGGTTTAACCATGGTTCAACCGTATTATACCACTAAATACTGCCTATCGGTTTTGCTTTCGGTAGGAGGTTTTTTAGGTCGAATCACTGATACGGTACAATATTTTAATCCTTGGATTTTTATCGTGTGTTTCTTACTTCCATTAAATTTTCAAGTTCAACTGTTATTTTGCAAGATAATCATATAATGTCTTTGTTTGTTTTAGCTTTTTGTTTTTTCATAGAGAATAATAGTGGTCAGATCCTGTGATTAAACCTAAATGATTAAGCATATGCTTAAAGCCTTTTTATTGACTAATAGGATTTTAGTTAGTTTATGGAAGGTTAGTAGTTAGTTTGTTATTAAGGGTAAGTGAGGAATTAAGAAAGTAATTAATAGTTATGGAAAATCATTAATATATTTAGTATTAATAGGAGAGAAGCATTAAAATATAAAGGGCATTGCAATTCAGAATATAAAACCCCAAATCATCAACCCGAGTACCTGACTGCTCGACAAGGCGTAATGAGTTTTGCCTTGAAGCTAGAAGACATGGCAGATGGCACTCAGGAATCAGGTTCAGTGAATGCTGCCGAGTCTCAAGCAAGGACAAAGCAAGTAGAAGCAGCGAGGTTTGTTCTCTTCTCATCCTATGCTGCTGGTGACCTTTATTTGACAGTCTATTGGGTTAAGTCATAGTACCTGCGCCTAATTTCATGGTTAATTGGTGTTTCAACAGATTGACGAAAATACTGTCAAAAAAAACAGATTGACGAAAGTAAGGTATAGCACGATTACAATAGGTGCCATTGGTAGACTTGTGCTTACAGTATGTAATACAGGATGATCGTAAGTAGAAGAAGCTGACAGAACATTATTAGGAGACACCGCTTTTCTCTTTCGACTTTGAGTTCAATCATCACATTAAGAGATAACCTGAGCGATGCTTCGACATTACTCAATTATACAGTAGTTGTATAGCTTGTGGTGTTAGCTGATGACGCAGTAACGAGCGAAGGACGTGGACCACTGGTGTGACATTGCCGTGCTCCTGTAACCGATGTAGCAGCGTGCCAATAGACCCTGGAAACTCTTCATTCTGCAGCAGGGTCTGTTCACTCAGCAGAACAAGTCTTTTCTAACTTAAGCAATTACTAAAATGTTATTCTTTTGCTTTGTACCCGTTGCTTGGGATTGCTGTCTCAAATTTCCAGCACAGACTGCACCTATTTGAGGAAGGCTTTGTTTACTCTTCCATCGGCAAGGGAAAGAATGAAAAGACAATAGGCTTTTTGCCCAGTTAGTCAGTTGTACGGGTCAACTCTGGCCATCTAAGACCATGCAAGATATAGAATGGAACACATAGGAACATGCAGTAAATATGCGGGGAGGTGCCCGTTCCTTCAAATTGTAAATTGAATACGATATAAACCAAACCTCGTTTGGCAAATTCCAGTTTTCTAAACAAACAGAAGATCAAATACTTTATTGTGTTGTCCTGTCCTATTGAGAGAGGGTTCCGGCAATCATTCCTCTCAGCAGCGAGAAACGGTTTTACTTGGCATCTTTGGATAAGAGGTTCTGGCTGTCTATTTTCTTCGCATTGCAAAGGCCATCTACACAATCCCCTCTTTCGAACACAGCTGCTGCTCCCATCCCGGTTCCTGCACATTAGAGTTGTCACAGTTAGCCACATTGTACATCGCTGATCGAACAACACAATTCAATCTAGAAGAGTAAGTAAGGGACTAGTCCATATGGTATATCCCCGACCTATGCACATGGACACAACTCCAAAGCGAGAGTCTCTACCACGACGCTTCATCTCGTGCAGCAAAGTAGCCACACATCGAGCACCTACAATAAAATTACAGTTCCCATGTTAGATCCGTTTCCCACACCACCATATACTGCAGCAGCGTTCCCTTTTTATATATAACGTCTGAGTGAGGTCTAGCTTGAATCAAATTACAGCTCCCTAACCATTGTGTTACATCGGTCAATGAAAGGCCAACCAAATATCACTTAGTAATTTGTTAAAGGTCTAGCATAGAAGGTGCTGCTGCCAGCAAGAAGCAGAATAGAACTTCTGATTCTGGAATCAGGGAACACTGCAACTTATTTTATGGGTTCATGTGAGGAAATGAATTTGAGCTTGTGGAGTATAGGCAACAGGTCTTTCGTTGCATAGTAAGGCTGCATTTCTGGGCAATTCAGAATTAATGCAGTTAGAATGTAATCACCTGTTGCACCCAAAGGATGTCCGATTGCCATTGCACCTCCATTGACATTGATCTTCTCCGGGTCTAGTCCAAGCTTCTTACGGCAGTAGACAAACTGGGATGCAAATGCCTGCAAACCTAGCAACTGTTAGCTTTCAAAAGAATACAAGGACATTCATGCAAGTCTCCGAATGCGACTATCAAAGATAGGAAGAGAAAATAGCAGGATATCACTCCATGCCTCATTTATCTCAAAAAGGTCGATATCTTCAAGCTCTAGACCAGCAGCTTTAACAGCTGCTGGAATTGCAACAGCTGGACCAACACCCATTATGGCAGGATCGACACCAACAGCAGAAAAGCTCCTGAAAAATATCCAAAAAATGGTGTTACGGTAAAAGCAAAAGGAAGAAGCTTCAACATCAGTATCAAGTTCAAGAGGCCAGAAACTTGAGAGGAATGTGAATAAGTTGGGACAGAGTCTTTCAGAATAAGGTGTCTGAATTTATCATCTACAGGACATTCATTACTTTATCGTTATGCAGGAATTTATTTCTACATTTAGTAATTTGCAAGACATGAACCATGCATTCACGTATTGCTTTCAACTAAATCAAAAAAAGCAACAGACAGCTAAGTAGAAACTTTCTGCCCTGAACTTGATTTCAGGGTAATGGGGCAGGCAAGGTAGCGATAAGAACATTAAGTACCAATATAACTTGTGAAGACTCCTTAAAGTGAACATGTAGCTAACCTGAACACTCCAAGAATGGGGAGACCCTTTTGCATTGCAACACTTCTCCTCATGAGCAATACAGCCCCAGCACCATCACTCACTTGGCTTGAGTTTCCTAAAGATCACAATACATCAGCTTATGAGATGAAAATTCAGAAATATTGTGCCGTGAAGTAAAGCAAATGCAATCAGTTTTACCAGCAGTAGTGGTTCCATCTTTCTTGAAGACGGGCTTCAATCTGGCCAAGTCCGCCACAGATGCGTTGGGACGAATCCCATCATCAACAGCAACTGTGATGGGTTTCTCATCACCCGTCTTTGGGTCAACAAGCTTAACAAGAGAAGAAACAGATCAACTGACTCAGATACAAGAAATTAACCAAAATATACAACTACTGAAGGTGGTTGAAACTGAAATATATATACCTTCGTAGAAACTGGGATGATTTCATCCCTGAATTTACCAGCAGCTGTAGCGGCAGCAGCTTTCCTATGGGAATCAACCTATTAACAGACATAATTAATGATCGATTTATATCATCATGATACTGTACAACCTGATGTTTCCTTTTTCACTTACTGCAGCTTCATCCTGCTCCTTCCTAGTCACACTGAATCGATGAGCAACATTTTCTGAAGTCACACCCATAGGCAGAAGGCAATTTTGAGCTTGTTCAAAAGTTTTTACCTGCCACATATTATGGTGGGGTGAGTACTTAATAATAAGGAAAGGCATCTTGCCAATACTAATTCATAACCAACAGTTAACTCATGTAAGAAGCATACTTTGGGGTTCACATCACCATCCCAAGCCATTGGGTTAACGGTCATGGACTCCAACCCAGCTCCAATGCCTAAGGTGGGGGCATAAAAAAAAGGCAGCACAATCATGAATGGAGACAAGTTCCATGCATACAAAAACGCACAGAACAAGAGGCAGCCTAAAAGAGCATATCTTCTCTTACCAATGTCATAAAATCCAGCTTTGATAGCTGCAGCAACATCAGCAACTGCCTGAAGACCCGATGAACACTGCCTGTTCACAGTCCTGACAGGCACGGTTTCTAAAAGCACATAAAGGAAGCTAGCCTATAAGCCATATAAAAGAAAGAACATCATTAAGAAAGAGCCAACAGGTGGATGAGGAGAACATACCAGGGAAACCAGCATAGAATGCAGCCATCCTGCACTCACTTGCTCTTTGTGATCCTGGTGCCAGCACCGTTCCCACAACAATATCCCCAACTTCACTTGGGTTCAGATTTGTTCTCTCTATCACTGCCTACAAACCCAATCATCCATGACAACGAAGCAACAAGAAATAAACTTTCCAGCTAAATTCGGCTTCTTATAACAATTCTCGATCATTCAACAGACGTACCTTCAAAACTGGTGCAAGCAAATCATCGGCAAAGGTATCCTTGAAACTGCCACGTTTAGACTTGCACAAGGCAGTTCGATGAGCCCTGCAGAAATTACAGAAAAACAAAGCACGTAAAACAAACACTCCCGTTTCTCAAGACAACTCATCGGAAGACCCGGTGAGGGCGGAGGAGGGAAGAAAACACTCACGCCACGATCACGACATCGTCGCCGAACACCGAGTTCCTCTGGTAGGCAGCGCTATCCCCAGCCAAACAAGCCGAAGCCTAGCGGAAATTCCCACGTTAAAGAAGGACACCAAGCAAAATCAATCAGAAACCATCACACCGCCGGAGTCGGCCGAGCAGATCGCAGTAAACACAAATCCGAGTAGAAGAAAACACACACACACACATAGATAGAGATAGAGAGAGAGAGAGAGAGAGAGAGAGAGAGAGAACTCACGGAGAGAGCGGAGTCATGGGCGTGATCGGAGGAGGAAGAAGGGCGGAGGTGGTCGAGAAGGATGCGCTGCCTGTTGATTGCTTTCTCCATGAGGACCGGCTCCGACGAAGACAGAGTTAGACGACGGGAACGGAGAAATGAAATTGGGGGAAATGAAATGCTCTTTTTCGGGAAACGTTGTTGAAAGTGGTAGATGTGTATATATATATGCAGAGGTTTGGCGGTCTGATCTCTGATTTGAGAGAAGAGTGAGCGCGTGATGACGGGATTGAGACGGTGAATCAAAATCCTTGCGGATAATGCTCTCCTTCGATCGGCACACAGTCCTATAAATCTCAACATCCTCTTGTCCGTATTTTAATTTAAGTTGCACGCTCGGGTCAGCGCGTGCAAGACTTACTCAGTGTGTTAAAATTTGGGCCTCTGAGGCCCGATTTCGGAATGATAATGTGCTTTTAGTTTTGGCCCATGGGCTTTTAATTTTAAGCCTACTCATAGATGCAAACCTTTTTGTTAAAATTTGGCCCTCTGTGTTTTCTCACACAAAGAACTTGCTGCTTAGAAAGAAGCTTCCAACAAAGGTTGTCAACCCGCGGGATTGACTCTGATCCGGTGAAAAAAATGGGCCACACGCACTCATCGGGTCGATCGTTACAAGGTATCGGGTTGGAGGTCAAATTGTGTCATTTTTTTCTTTGGTTTGCGAAATGTGTCTATTTTCCGATTTTCTTTTCGCCTAACTCAATGTTTGAAATCCTAAGTTGAATATTGATATTGATGTTATATAAGTGTGTGAATTTTCACCATTTGATATAATTTATTAGGATAAATACAATATAAATATATAATGACTTTTTTCCATATTTTCGGGCTAATCCAGACTAAAACGAGTGACCTATTAACCCTTGACCCACTAGTTTGACCGGGTCTGGATCAGCCCACGGGTTGACAACCTTGCTTCCCAATCAAAAGCTTGGATAAACATGAGCCCTGCTTTTGACCCTTAGTTAAAACTTAAAAGCCAAAGAATGTGATCCTTAATCGGTTAATCCATACCTGCTGTATCTATTCCAAATTTCCAATTCGATGTCAACCTTTCCCCTTTGACATATGCATGAATTTTATGTATGGCATGAATTAATTAGTTTCTAACGCAAAAAGGTAAATAACTAAATACAGTTCGTTCTCAAGAAGGGAAAAAGTCAAAAAACAGAGGAAATACAATTCATTAGCAGCAAACCTATGTGCTATGTGAGCAAAATGGATGTATCCAAATACAGGACAGGAGGAATAAGATTTCGGCTTTGTAACTGAACAGAGCATGAAAGTTGAAACCTTTTCTCTTTTATATGGACTTATTATTGTTACTGTTCGCATTGCTAATTAAGGGAAGGTTTGAATCTGATAAGGTTCATTGGATAGAGCTCTTAATGTGATATACAGTTTATCTTCTCTATATAATCTTCCATCGCTATTAGCTTCAAATTCGCAGCAGTGGTATAAATTACTGCGCTGTAGCTTTCTGATTTCCATCTAACAAGAAACTAAGAGATACAGAGGAGAGAAGAGAAAGGAAAGACGACATCATAAGATAGCATAGCATGGCAAAATCATCATATCTCGCCTATTTATTTGTGGCGATCCTTCTTTTCTCAGGTTTGTGTTGCTCGTTCTTACATATATAGGAGGAGCGTTGCTCAGATTCTATTGATCGCTCATATAGAAGGATCATCTTTTCCATCTCTTCACATTCTCAATTTACTGGTACGGGTTTGAATCTTCACAAAATCATTTAAATTTTCTCTTTCATTTCTAGGTTCCTTAGTTGTGTTTTATTTTGCCTTCTTAAAAGTTAGGTACCATTCATTTTCCTTTTTTTCCCCCTTCCTTGTAGGTTAGGTACCATTTTATTTTACTCTTCAATTCATTTTCAAATAATAAGTTAAAAAAAAAATACAAAATCACACACAGCTTGAATAGTCAAAAGCATTTCTCTTTGATTTTAATCTTTCAAAAATTTATATTTTACTTTCATTTCAGGTAGTTGCCAATGTTGAGATTTAATTTTCAGAAAACTAAATTCACATCCGTTCTTCTAAATTTGACAAGTTCGACTTTAGATATTCTTAAAAAGTGATGTTTCTTCTCCTAACTTGTAAAAAAGTAAAGACTACAACACTCACACACATTGTTTAATTTTTTTTATGATATTTTGTCAATTAATTTTGCAAATCAACTCATATTTAAACTCTTGATTTTCTCTCCCGCAATGCATTTATCCAATCAATCAAAATTTTCAAACAATTTCATTAATTCCACCCATCAGTTCACATTGTATAATTGGTATAGAATCACAATTTTTACTCAATCATTTAGATATTAATTTTTTTATCATAAAAATAAAATTGTTCCGTTTTTTTGTTTTTATCACAAGCTGTAGCGTACGTATAAACGGTTCCTAGTTATCGTGCTAATGACAAATTATATCTTTATACCCGTTATCATAAAATCATTTTCGGCTCCACTCTTGAAATCTTGGGTATGACACTTTCCCTATTCAAACACGAAACTCATAAAAAGCGTGAAAGTCCATTGGATTCAGTAACCTCCTCTACTTGTTTTTGGGTTCCTTTTGAATTGAAACATGATGATTTGATTTAGAACCCTCCTTCATTAGTTGCATTTTGTTATTAATTTGTTTGTGCTGTATTTCCCCCCCAAGGTGCAGCTTTAATGCCGGTTGGGAAAGGGGAAGCACCTCCACCTCCAAAACCCTGCGGTGAACAGTTGTATCCTGCAAATTGCGTACCAAATGATTGTGACCAGAAATGCAAAGCAATCAACATCGGGCAGGTTGGGGTATGCATCCCAATCCCCCGCTCCTATGCTTGTTGGTGCCTTCACCAATGCAAACATTAATTATTAGTTAATTAAAAAAATAATATTTGTCATTAAATAAATTATTGTTACTCTGTGATACTCCACAAAGCTATATCCTTAAATCTGTAATAGTTTATGGTACGCAATAGAGGCATTTGGTCTTTTGGTTTAATTCATGATTTTGCTTGCTTTGCTTACTTACTCACTCCCCTAAAACCTAAAACTACCAAGTACCAACTCGGTTAATTCTGTTTGAGCTCGTGGTTGCGAGAGGGAGAAAACATTTTGATCATGTTTGTGGGAGAGAGAAAAAAAACTGGTTGCGAGAGGGAGAAAACATTTTGATCATGTTTGTGGGAGAGAGAAAAAAAACGTGTATTTATAGTTAGGGGTGAAAACGTAGGCGGTTAATTAGTGGTTTGGTATATTGAAAGTTTGTCCTCAATGAACCTTTTTTCCTTTTTCTCCAAAGGAAATCTCCTTTAGGAATATTGTTTCGAAGACAGGAATTAAAAGGAAATAAAAATCTATAGTTTTTTTTAGAATAAAATCTGCAGTATTTAAACCAAAGGCATGCTTGGAAACAAATTTTCATTTACCTTAACTTGAGAGTTGTTGTATCCAAAATCATGAGCATATTGGATAGTCTTTGTAAATATATAAACCTTAAAATGAGTTTTATATCCACATAAATTGGATTTGAGCATTTTCCAATTATAAATAAGAAAATAGAGAGCAGAATGACCAAGTTTTTTCTAACATTTTGGTTTATATTCGTCCTTCTTCTTTCAGGTCTGTTTTATTCATATACGTGACTATATATATATCGGGTTGAGACAAAATTTGTTTTTATACTATGAAATTTTCTTAGTGCTCATTTGATTTTTTGTTATCAAGTTTAATTGTTTGTTAGTTTTTCCAAAAACACAACTTATTAACCCCAACCCAACCGTTGGTGTTTAACTAAACAATTTTCAGGTGGAAGAATAATGTCAATTAAGAAAGCGGGAGCAGACAAAACTTGTGCCGACCTATTGTACGGTTCAGGATGCACGCCGGACGATTGCTACCAGAAATGTGTGGACCACGGCGGCATCGGCCATATCGGAGTATGCCTGCCAAAGAAAGATTCCGACGACAGTTATTGTCTATGCCTTTACAGTTGTTGATTTTCATTTTAATGGGGCGATTATTATTACTAGTTAATTAGCTCGTGTTTCACCACGAGTTCTGATACTCGTAGATTCAATAAATAATATAGTACATTGTGACATCCTCATCCAATAATATATTGTAGAGTTTTGTAAACTTTTCTCCATTTCAAATTTCCTGTAACGAGAGTGGAAGTAGGAATGATATTTTTGTCTTTACAATTAATTATTTATCTCATATAAAAAATATCAATATAAGGATATGAACCCGGGTCTCTTAGAACAAAGACAACAATCACAACCAATTACACTAACACTCTGTTTGGCAAGTAAGGGGTTGCAAATTCGAGGGGGTACAAATTGGGGTGTTAATTATAGGTGGGTGCAAATTCGAGGAGGATACAAATTGGAGTATAAATTGGTGTTTGGAAGAAAAAGTAAGGGGTGCAAATTTTAATATATTAACTATTTTTATAAAAATTAATAAATAACAAATGGTCCCACCATCGCTTCTCCTTCCTTCTGCTATCACCACCTCATTCCATTTTCCTTTTCTTTCTTCTCCTTTCTTTCTGACTCGGCCCCACTCCCCTACCCACTTCCTTTCTCTTTCTTCCCCTTTCATTCTCACTGGACCCCACAACCTCCTCCTTTTCCCTTCCCCTTCCCTTGCACCCCAATTTGGGGGCTTGTGGAAATAGTATAAATGCACCCACTTTATCAGCCTCCATCTCTGTTCAAAACTATCCAAACGGGGTTTGTTTCTCTTGATTCCAATTTGCTCCTCAGTTTTGCTCCCCTGCACTTACCCCAGCTTTCCAAACAGAGTGTAAACAAATTTTTTGTACCTTTTCGAGTACAAAACTTACATAAAGTTACTCTGAAAATTGGAGGAAATTTCCATCATGATTAGCAAGCCAACTAAGTCTACCATATGTATTTTATGGTGCTTGATACTTCAGTTTTCATAGTACAGGTTCATGTAATTTTCTCAATTTTAAATTTTTTGCTCTCGCCTTAATTTTTTGCTAAAGTTAGATTAGTAATTGGCTACCATAAAAGAAACTGATTATATTATTACGTGTTGTGTCCTTGGATTTTTCAATTTTTTTTATCTTTGTTCCTATCTCTTTTAACTTCCTCCGAAATTCCCTCCATCATGCAATAGTTTGCGCGCTTTTCACTTTCCAACACAAGGCCGCCTTTGAAATCAATCTTTTGGTATCTCTTGGCACTACGATTTTATTATTGGAAATTTAAACTAGGAAAGTAGAAGATTTCAACTTCGATATCAATCCATGACGAATAGAATGGAGTTCAATAAATGGAGTTGCAGAAGGAGGATTAGATATTGGATTTTTTATTGAAACGTATGCCTCTTGAGATAAAAATTTGGTTGTACAAGAGAGAGTGGTGACTATTGGACCTTTAGGTTTATGGTTTTTGCACCTAGGTCGATTCTTTATTCAACCTACAGGAACTGTTAGATAATGAGTGTCTAATTTCGCGCCTTATTACTTCGATCGAGTTTATTAGCATATTGGAGGTAGCCCTAATTTTGTCGTTTGCTCTAAAATTTTAATGGTCCCCTCTTAACTGAGTTGTCATATAGTTTACTTGAATCAATAACTCTCCATTTCTTTTTTATTAGTGGCATATTGTTCCTAAAATGAGAGCATTGAACCTCTTATGTAGGATTGTGAGGTTTAAGATTGAGTTTCAAACTATCTATGGGTCGTGTGGGAATTCCAGTGAGCTTTTGCACTCTATCTTTCTTGACAATCAACTAACCAATAGCATTTTAAGTGAGGCTTAATTATCATTATGAAAATGAGATCAATGATACATTTTTATATTTTATATTCTTAATTGTCAATAAAATTAAACTGGTTGATAGAGTTAATGTAACATAAAAATACAAATAATAAAAAAAGAACATTCCGACCAACGTGCAGGGGTATAAGCTAGTTGTTATAGTGATGGAATGCCTAATGACCGAGCTGCGTTAAGTTGTATCATGGTTGGTTTTGTCCATATTTGCGTTTTCAGAAGATATATTTTTTTAGTTTTATTTGTCTGCCAACTTTATTATATTTTGAAAAATTGAAGAATGGATCGAGAAGGCAAGTCGAATATCATGTTATGCATCTAAGTAATTATTGCTTAACGAATAGACTTTGAAATTTGATATTGTGCATAAGTCGGCATAACATATGTTTGAGCCACTACCCACCAGTCTCGCCTATTCGGAACTTATGAGAATTAACCACCGTTGGAGCGTCAGAACCCTGCACAAACAAGCGCCTAGCGGGCCTCTCGGTGCCCATTAGTACCCCAACGCTCAAGTCAGGCAAATTCTAGAGAGATAAGTGTCGTGAGAGATCTTAGTGAGAGAAGCCAACCTGCGTAAATGCTACCTGCCGAGTACTATTTATACTCGTCGAGGTCCCGACCAGGCTCCTAGAATTCAGTTCCACGTCAGCGCTCATTAAATGCTTAGTACGGCCCAGCGGTCGGGCGCCTCCACGTGGCAGCTCCTGGACCCCTATGCATAGGCGCCTGGCAGGGACCACGCTACCAGGTGGCACGCTCTCAGCCTCCTGGTCCCAAATTTTCACGGTCCCCGCCCTACTTTTGTCGTTATGTGCCCGCTCCTCCTTGTATGGGCCCAACTCCTGGTTTATTCCTCATGCTCTCAAGTGGGCTTGGGCCTAGCTAGTCTCTATGGACCCACGCCCCCCAATGGTTCACTTATGCTTACCCAACAATTGTCCCCCAGTTAGGCGCTCATGGTTTGTAATGAGAGCTTAACTATATGTAACAACTGGGTGGTCGTTTCGATGAAGGTTCCCACCCTACTTGCCTCACTATACATGGGCGGTTAAACTACTGCCAAACTGTTTATAGACCCTCCATTGCTCGACGGGTGCCTAATCATCCTTAGTACTCGGGCGTCTTCTAGGCGCCCTCTCGGGCGCTTTCTAAACAACCACTCTTCGCCCCTCGTTCAAAGTCAAGCGCCTAACTATGTGAAATCTTAAGGATGACTGTTTCTGTGACACTCTTGTAACACCCTACCCTATACGTTTTGCCTAATCATATTGTTCATACAATTGCAGCAGAATTAATCTCGGGTGTTACATTAATTATCAAAATTTACCCAAATAAAATTTCGACATGAATTACTCGCGTAATGGGCTAACAGTTCTTGCAAGTTATCCTGCAAAATAATTCATCACATACATATATACTCACAACCATGTGCATTGGCTTTTCTTAGTCATAGTCACACTTTTCATACTTCACAACTGCATACCATACTTATACATACCATAATCGTCACAACTTATACAGTTATACAACATATACACATATCATCAACTTTCCACACTTGTGGATATCTCACACTACATCAGAAGCTAGTATGCACATGAAAAACGTTCTCAAAACATTTTTACAAAAAGGTGTGGATCACTGGCCAAAATCCCGAGTAGTATTCCAAGCACAGAATAGTTGAAGACCATACCTCATCCTGGCTTCAACTCTAGCTCCTCTCCCACCGAACACTTATCTACTGTTGTTGCTGATGATATGCTTACACATAGCATAAGCAGAGAAGAAGAATAAGAGGGGGTCATCTCATAGCTGAGTGAGATAATCATAGCATCGTGAGTTCTTAACAGAGCATACCCCTATCATACATCTAACAATCAAGCCAAAACACTAGGATCATACCTCAGTCATCCGACATCCCAATAGGAAAAAGACTCAACCACCTTGACTTATGCATATGCATCTTATCATGTTTTAATCATAGGCGCCTGGCTACTCCCATGCTAATTACTCTCCCGGGAATACAGACCAAACATCTCGTGGATGTGGTCATATCGTACCCACCACTGCCGGTGTAGTCATATCGGACCTGACACCACTCTGGGTGTAGTCATATCGGACTCAACACCACTCTGGGTGTGGCCATATCTCATGATGAATCAACGGTCAACACCACATCAGGGGTGTGACATAACATATCATAATGGAGTAATAGCATGGGGAGCCCTAATTACTATGTAATTGACCATGAGACCAACTCACTCTTATTTGGTATCCTTATACATGATTCATATCTCATCTAGTTTGATCATAATTCCTTACTTGCGCATGTACTTGACCTGACCATAATTGGCTCAATATAGGTAAAACAGGAGTCGTATTATTGCACTTCCTCGGGATAAACCCTCATGCAAGTCATCCTCCTTAAACATCATAATCACCATGGGATATATATTTTCCCACTTGTACGTTCAAATACATCAATCATGAAAAATCATACCCAATCACTTTCTCGAACCATCATAAAGCATATCAACAGTCAAGCCCACAATTTGCAACATATATGAAATCATCATCATAAACAAGGTCCATCTCGATTAGGGCAAGTCAATAATATCATACAGTAGTCCATGGTTCATCATATAGCACAAAAGTTCATACACCCTTAATCATGCCATTCTAGTTCACCTAGGTCAATTCTAAGCATCAATATAATTATCGTGATACGACAAACCCGGTATGCCGTGCTAATCCCTCACCAGTTCTGGTCGTTCAAACACCCGTTTCACCTTCCCGTACTAAAACGTCAATTTCACGAATGAACTCTGAATTAAAATCCAAGACCGTTTTAATATCCCCTGCAGTATCCCCATCAATATTAGTTCAAGGCTCCGAGTCAAATTCTCGATAAAAACACATCAAATTCAGCGATCCCGGCTCCGATCTAAATAATAGCTGAAATTCATGGATTAGAACTAGAGGATTGATTACCTCGCTGTAGGAAGCTCGTATATGAAATTTGGGCTCAATCCGGCTTCCGGATACTCCGAAACCCTAATTTGGCTTATCGGAATTCAAGAAATTCCTGAACCAAAAACTCGTTTTAAAACTCTAAATCGATAAATCACGATGTATAGATGGATTAGGCATTACTTACGGGATTTTTGGATCACTAAAGCTCAAGAATTAAGCTCTGAGAATTTCCCCGATGCTCCCCTGTTTTGCGCTCTGGCTCTCTGCTTATCTCTCGACCCGGAAATGGAAAAAGAGGAAATGGATGGGGAAATAAAGTCGACCAGGTGAATTATATATATGTGACCG